TTGCACAGCCCATGAGTGTCAGAGACAGGATTTGAACAATTCAGAGTTTTTGATTTGAGTCCTTGCTTGTAATTAAGTGTTCCTTTTTTTTTTTTTTTTGGAACTGAGGATTGAACTCAGGACCCTGGGCTTGCCAGGCAAGTGCTTATTCTACTGAGCTATCTCCCCAGTCCTAAGTGTTCCTTTTTTCTTATGCTTTTTTTTTCTCCTGCCCTTTACTGCATCAAATAAGATTGGCTCCAAATTTTTAGAGATTCCCCCCCCCCCATAGCCTACCAGACTAGGTTTAAATTCCTTTATTCTTCACCAAGGTCATGGAAGACTCACCTCTCCACCCTCATCTCCCTGTTCCAGCCTCATCTTTTTCTACGTCTCATTCCTGGCTGCTAGGCTCACCTCTGTCTGCCAAACCACAGCAGAGGACTTGGCCCACAGTATCGTACAGGCAGGTTTTGAATGGATGAATGGATAAATGGCTGGCTGGCTGGCTGGAAGGGTGAACAGAGGAGCAGATGGGAAATGGGATGGCCTTCTTTAAAAACATGCTTTTGTATTTTTATGAGAGAAGGAAGTATGTATGGACCAACAGAATTTCCATTTGATTCAGCTGCTTTCCTTCTAGGTATCTAAGTGAAAAAAATTAATGGCACTCTATTTTTGTGATACATACATATCCATGTTTATGGCAGTAAGGTTCATAATAGCTAAACCTCGGAAGCAGCTGATATGTCCATCGAAAGATGGGTGGATAAAGCTTATGTGGTATTTATACACAGAGGAGTACTCTGCCAGAAAGAAAAACCTTAGTTCTTTGTAGGAAAGGGGACACCATAATGTTAAGGGAAGTAAATCACAAATACAAGCTAAAATATCCTGTGGTTTTCTTATATGAGAAATCTAGATTATAAATAAAGAGCAAAATAAATGATAGATAATAGGAGTTAGGGAACCAGATCTCTCTCAAGTGGGGAGGGGATCAAAGGATGGAGAGAAAAGGTCGGAAAGGAAGTAGGTTGTGTTATGCGTATGTACCAGGACCACATGAGGAATGTGGGCATTATGTATTGTAAACATGTATAATAGAAAATGTAAAAGAAAGGATCCACTTCTGTCATCAGAAGCAAGATTAATTGCCTTGGAGGACATTTTGTTGAGCGAAACAAGTCAGGCACAGAAAGGCAAATACCGTATGTCTTCATTTGTACATGGAAACTGAAAAAGAGTAGAGCCTTGAACAGCAGTTGCCAGAGTGTGGAAAAGGTTTGGGGGACAGGAAGTCAGGGAGAGGGTAGTTAGTGGGCAGGGGCACGCAGCTGGGCAAGAGGGCTAACTTTTCATGCTCCCTGCTGCACAGTAGGGTAGCTAAGGTTCACAGTGGTTAATTGAATGTTTTCAACATAGCTAATAAAAAAGGGGCTTGAGTGTTCCTAACACAAAGGAATAATGTATTTCTAAAGTGATGGATATCCCACTTACTACGATCTGATCATGAAATGCAACCTGGATCCCAAAAATATATATTACTTTCTGCAAGTAAATATAAAAAAAGTATTTTTAAAAAAGGCCCTGCTAAAGAGTTATGTGATGCAGAAAATTAAAGATAAAATCAGCTTCACAAAGTCAAGGGAAAACATGAGTTAGGATCTCAGCTCAGTTGTGTTGATGCTTATTTAGCACCTTGGGAGTGAGTAGGAAAGGGAGCTGGGTAAAGCCCTGACAAGTCTGAATGCTAACATCCAGAACTTCCATAACAGGACCTGGTAATTAAGAATTTGGTCATCTGATATCCTACAGATGAATTGGTCCATTGAGAAATCTCCCAATGTTGTGGGGAGACTTTATCATAAGTGTACTTCCTTGGGTGAGTTTGTTGGTGCCAGGGACCAAAATACCCTCTGTGGCCAGTACCAGCCTGGCCACCTTTCTGACATTGGGTCTGATTCTTTGCTTAGATAAGCTATAGGTTGGTAGCTAGACCTCAGAGGTTGAGTGAGGCCCCCAAATGCAGCTCCCTGTCTTTCTATCAGGAAAAGGACATATTTATCCTGATTGGGGAGCCCTAATGTGTGAGCCTCCTGTAAGGCTTGTTTTAAGTTCTGAAATTATCAGTCAGCCTTAGGATTCCAGGTGAGAGGGTAGGTCTGTGTGTCTTGGGTTTGTTTAAAGAGTTGGTAGAAAGGTCTTGCCCTTTCAGCGTATCTTGGCATCCAGATTTTACAAAGCCTAGGAACTCACAAGAAGACTTTCAGCTGCTTAATATATTTGAACTATAGGAAGTCCACTAAAGAGTGTATCTTCTCAGGGCTTAAAGTCCTCTTGCTATGATAAGGAGCGTTCCCAGGTAAGTAACTTGGATCTTGCAGATCTGAGCCCTTTCACAGGACACTTTAGAGTTCAGGGTGGCCAGGAAATTGAGGAAAGACTTGGCACCCCTATGCATAGTAGCCTCAGTTTCCCCACAAAACATCAGATCATCTATATATTGTAGGCAGGTAATTGTTTCCTCTTTCCATTCAAACATATCGTGGGCCAAGGCTAAACCCAAGAGGTGGCAAGCTTGAGGAAGTCCAGGTCAATTGTTCTACTTCTGTGAGGGCATTTCCAAATGCAAAATGATTTTGGCTGTCTGGTGCCCGGAGGATATGGAAGACATTCTTGAGGTCCAGGGCCAAACACTGGCTGGCTAAGACTAACTTGCATTAGCTCAGTCCTTTCCTTGTCCCAGTGATGGGATATTATAGGGGCTAATAGTTTCCCCAAGGAGTTCCCATTATAGTAATCCCTAAAAATGAGTTTTAGCCCATCTCTAACCTCCTGGCAAAGAAGATACTTGTTTTTGGTGTTTGAAGAGCATGGGGTCCCTAATATAAATGAAAACAGGACCTTTTAGGGTCCTCCCTGCTGTGTGTCCATCTGTGCACATGGCTAGGTCACCTGGAGGGAGAAAAATCCCTGCAGCATTGGATCCCAGTGGAAGTAGGATTTTAACCTGGGCTTTGGATAAGGAATCTCTCAATAGTGGGGTCAGAGTTTCAGACATTACCAGGAAAGAGCGAGCAAAGTGAAGTTCACCTAGAGTGCCAGCCACATGCCTGGAGAAGAACCTTTCCACGGGGGTGCCCGAGACCCCCTGAGCTGTAACTGAGGCTGGAGTGCAACCCAGGGGCGAAGGCAAGGGCTGAACAGCTGGAGCCCAAATCAACAAGAATAGTGGCTACCTGGCCCTCCACTATCAAATCAGTATTAAAGGCAGCTAAGTTAGGCAGAAATATTGTAGGCAGCCAGCCAGGGCTGGCCCTGAGCAGTTAGTGCAGAGGAGGAAAACACATGGAAACTGTGGCTCTGAGGTACGTCGGAACACTAACATCACAACGATCAGATTTCATACTTCCCTAAGGATCAGGTGGAGGTTTGGGATTTTGGCATCACCCTTTTGAGATTTCCCAATATCTCATTAGGGGTGGGCCATCCTCTCCCATCCACTAAGACCACGACTGTATATAGATGATGTCACCCATATGCCTTTGCTACCCTTGCATTAATGTTACTCAAGCAACTAGACTTGTAACCTATTGGTTGATCATAATCTTGGCTCAGATTGTACCCGTTTCATGATTTTGAAACTTTCTTTGAGAGGTGGGCTCATTGACAACCCACTCAGGCCTCATCCTGTCTCTAAGGAGCTATTCCCAGTCTCCATTCTTTTGATTCAGTACATTTTCCTACTCTTGACTTCCATCGTTCCTTAGAATTCATTGTTTGACTTTTTTTTTTTTACTGGGGAGAACAAAATTTATTGTTTTTAATTTCATGTTTCAAATTCATATTTTATACATTAAGTACTACATAAACTTGTCTTTAGAATATTTGGTATTTAAGCAATATTTCATCTGTATCTAGAGAAAGGCAACTTACTTTTCTATTGATAAACAAAAATAATGCCATATTAGAATAACAGCATTAGCAATCGCTGTTTCTCTAACTTGCTACTGGATTTAATATCACACGTTTTGGATTTGAGTTTGGATATTATGTGAGAGACCACATCTTTTGTACGAGTGGTCCCTTGGGTTGATCTTATGACAAAACAAATCATCTGTGGTGAAAGCCAAAATTAATCTTTGGGTTTAAACATTGGGTAGTAGAAGAATTTCCTGTACTGCACTTTTCATCTCTTAAAAATAGAAATGTTTTAGCAGCTTAAACCTTTTTAGTTGTAATATAAAATATATTACACTAGGAGTTACTTTGAAATAGTTTACAACCAAATCAGTTATAACATACATATTACTGGCACTGTAGCACAAAAGCAAACTTCAAAAACAATTGTGGACCTCTAAAATTAGGCCATAGTATAACAGTTCATGGTCTTACATTCAGCAAATTCATACTAAAATGTTTTTTGTAGGATAAAAGCCAAGAAAACTTTACATATGCTATAAGCTTATTACATGTATTTACATGGCTCTTTTTCCCTAGGTACTTGATTTTTCACATTATATTACTTCCCACTTTAAATTTCGCAAGGATGAGGCCAGATCACTGTCAGAATGGCTTCTGAAGAGGAGCTATACTACAAAGAGGATGTACTGTGAAAACTACTGTGAGAAAGTTTTGGTGCATCTTTTGCCAGATGCCTTTTTTTTTTTAAAGGGCCATCAGAGTATTGTACCTCCTTGTAATAAGCCCCAAGTGCCCTTTACACATTTACCACTGTACAATTTAGCAAAATGCAGCTATTAAGAAAAATTTACATTTTCTTTTGGCAGTGCATTAGGATGTCAACATGTTATTGGTTTGGCTATTGAGATAAACTTTGAGATGTCTGCCTGGTTTTCAAACTTGTGTCAGCTTAGATGCATACAATCTGAATTACTTCAAGTAAATTTGATCCATGAGTCAAATAAAAAAGTTGATTTCTCAAATCTAAACTGTGAGTGATTTCACTTAAAATTTACCTGAGAACATTATCAAGCACAGTTAGTTATTCTAAATTGCACTGATCTTACTCCACCACAGTGCACACAACACAAATGAGCTGAAGTCCAATTATAGCTTTACATCATCAGCTTTACAAAGATTCTCTAGTAACTTTCTATCAGACCAGTTAACCACTATTTGTAAATGTAACTAAATTTAAGCATCTTTACACCTGTACTTTCAGTAAGGTTTTAAGTTGAAAGGTCATTATTTCCTTATCTGAAGGGTTAAAGGACACAGGAACCCAGTGGCTCGGTGGCTTGGGAAGAGCACTTGGTGATGGCGGTTCACTAAATTTGGCTCCAGCATAGTTTTGATTACCTGGAGACTTAAAAAGCAAGCTGGGACTTGATAAGCTAGAGCTCCAATTTTGGTTATTTGGAAAATTCTTGTTCTTCCCCCCATTCTGCAGGGCCTGCCTTGCAGCTGCTGAGGGATTATAGGCATGTCCTCTTTCTTTTTTCTTATGCACAATCTTCATCTGGGAATTCTGATCCTTGGTTTTCTGTCTATTAAGCCATTGTTGGCTCTTAGTAACTTTTCTGGTTTGAGGGTCTGAAATGCTATACCTCTCTCCGCCACCCATCTTCAGCCTTTTTGTCACCTTTCTGTCTGCTTTTCAGATTGCAGTATTTCTACTACTTGTCTTCTTTCTTGCTGCCAAGCCCAAGATAATAGGTGTTGCTTTTTGACGGATCCTTTCCTTTGTCTCAATGCAGAGGTTTTCATGGGCTGCTTTGCTGAGTTCAGTCTAGGAGCTGAGGCCAACACCTGAGTCTCCTCAGCACACAAATTTGAGAGAAGTCCTAGCGACTTCGGCTCGGGCTGCCGCGGCACCTCCCTCCCGATGTCGAGGCTTCCCTCCCTTTCCAGGGAGCAACGAGCCACAGATTGGACACAGCTCACAAGGTCCGACGAGTCAGCTATCGGCCACCTTCGTGTCTCCCGACCCGACCACCTTCTAGCTTCATCCACAAAAATCTGTTTGACTTCTTTTTTAAAAATTTTAAAAATTAATTTTATTGAGAAACAAATAGCAATGAGACAGTTTCAAAACCGATTAGTAGGACAGTTTCAATAACTAATATATTACACGTTGTTGTCTTTGTAGTAGTTATTCATAGTATAAGATGCAGACATGTTATCCTGTCCACACCATCAGTAAAAATATTTCTTCTCACTGAATTAAGAGAAAGTAGCTGTATATTTATCCTAACTATTTGTATATACAGATACAAAATGGTCCTTTATTTATATCCCTTTTTTGTTTAGTTTTGTCAGAGATGGGTATTCCATTGCCATTTCAATATTGTAAGTGCTTGAATTCAGCAAAATATTCCAATATAGTCCAGTAGTCCATAATAGTAGTGGGTCATCCACAGGACCGGCAATGTCAGCAGTTGTTGACTTGAAACTTTTACAGCTCAGCATATTAATATGGCTTTACTTTTTATACCTTGTTTTTATACTTTTGACATTCAGACAGATAGTGAGGTTAAGCTCAACTGCCTATGTTACAGGGTAATAATTAAGCTTCTTTTCTGGAGGGTTAACAACCTAAGTTTGCAGACCAAAAATTAGAGAAAAAGAAGGGCTGCAAGGACAGCCAACATTTTGGCCCTAACCTTTCAAGGTCAGTGAGGACTCAGGACATAAAAGAACCTGTACTGTAACATCTTGTAGCTCTATAATGTCCCAAACTTTCTGATCAAGGAGATTATGACTTTTTTTTTAATTGTTTGACTTCTGAGAAAATGAACTCAGCATATCTGACATTTAGCATTTCTCTCATATCAGGAGTCCATAGGTTGGACTGGAGGAAGAGAGGGGCTAGACAGTGAGTCCTGGGGAACTTCGTTGGGAATATCCTTGGCATGTGTCATCCCAGTGACTTCTGTGACAGAGAAAGATCTAGTGGGTCCCTGTTGAGTCATTCTCCATGGAATTCTCCCCTTCTTGAGTTTTGGACACTTCTTAAAATGTCCAGGTCTCAGATAGTGAAGGCAGAGAGGTCCATTTTGGGTCCACTGTCCACGCCTAAAAATCTTTGGATGACAGCCACCAAGTCCTGTGTCTCCTCCTTTTTCCAGTTGGGTCTCCCTGTCCTTATTGCTAGAGACCTTGGGTGGTCTCTTTCAGATATCCATCTAATTCCAGGCAATCTTTTCCTGGGTCTACCACTAATTTTAAAAGCCTATGGCAGATATCAGGGGATGATTGAGCCAGAAACTTATCATGGTCATTGGGAAGATGAGGATCTCCCTAATTACACTGATCAGATTTATTAAGGTATAGTTGGCCATGACCTCCTTCAGTTGTTGCAAAAATACTGAGAGGGTTTTTTCCTTCTTGATCTGTCCTAATTTTGCGTAGTTAACAGGCTTAACACTTGCTCCTTTTAGACCTTCCTTGATGCAACAGACGAAGTACATATAGCCTCTCCCTGAGGTATCTCATTGGCCTGTTAAGGTTTGGATGAAGTGTAAGCCTTGGTCCCTATAGGGGTGTAAACCTTGGCTTCACCTCCCCTGCTCAGGCTCCTCTATGGGCCTCCTGGTACACATTGCCTGCTAACAGCCACATTCAAAACTTTCCTCTTCTCCTTGATTAAGAGTCTCACTAAGGAGAAAAATCACATCACTGCAGGTTAACCTAAATAGAGAAGTTGCTCTTTTTAAAGCTCTATATATCCATCTGGGTCATCTGTGAAACTTTCCAGGTCTCATTTAATTTTTCCCAATTCTGAGTGATTAAATGGGACATATTCTGGTTCCCCCTTTAATTGGAATGGAGGAGCAGTAACTTCTGGCAGGGGTATCAGGCCAGACTCAGAGTAGGGTGGAGCAGGACCCTCATCATTTGGGGCTCTAAGGGCCCAGGCTTCCTTTCTCATTTAATCCCTTGGAGGGGCAGATGTCAGTTCTGCCAAGATTGAGAGGTCAAGGAGCACTGATAAACCTACTTGGGGTGGTCTCAGAGGGTAGAAAGAGTTAGACGTAGGGCACCTCATTCCATTTTCTTTCTTTTTTTTTCTCACAAAACAAGCCTAACTGATGTATAGTATTAAAGCTAAGGGAGGCCCTCCCACCCCTCATGATTTGTCCCGATCTTCTAGAGGGTGTTGAGGACAAGTGTCAGTGCAGTTTAAAGCTGGGGCCTGCTTAAAGATTTGGGAATCTAATTTCATCCAGTGTTTGAGTAGGCATTCCAAGGGTGATTATGGTGGAATAGTTGAGGGTCCAGTTCTCACTTGTGGGAAATGGGAAGAAAGGAAGCTGAGAGAGTAACCCCAATGATGGGCATTCCTGCAAGGAGAATCTCTCACTTAAATCTAGACAAGGTGTTCCCCATTCCAAGGAGGCCTATTTCTATCTAGGTTCCTCCTGCACTCATCCTGCCACCTTCAGGATTCATCTGAGCTCTCTCCATTTGGGGATTGGAGCCCCAGCCTGTCCTCATATGCAACCTGGCTCCAAGACCACAGTATTTCTTCTTATATCCCCGATACCTCTGTTTCCATCACTACTCAAATACATAGTGTCTCCCAAAAGCCCTATCTTGTGCTGGGTTAAGGATGGCCATTAAAGGCAAATCCCAGAATGGCCTAGGTGTAACAAGGCCAAAAGAACTCACTTAGTTCTGGTCGAAGTTGATCAGGCCTCTTTTGGAACTCAGCCACAGAATTATTCATATTAAGGAGAGCCAAGTCACAAGCAGGAAGAGAGGCTCTCTATCTTAGTGTTTCCTCATGAGTCCCATTTGTCCTCTGATGTCCCTATGTAACACATCAAGAGGGATTAGGAGGTGATAAGACAAGTGAAAAGTGAAGGGGAGGAAGTGACTGGGTTGAATTAGGGCCTAACCTCAAATGTCCAATTTCTTCAGAAGAGGCAGGATAGCAAAGAAAATTCTGGGTGGGAAAACCAAATTCCATGAAGAGGAGCAAATATTTCTCTGAAAAATATAGCTTGGAGATGGCCTGTAAAAAGTTGTGCTCTTGAGCCCACAGACATGGAGGTCTTTGGGTTTGGACACGTGTACCTCTCCCTCACTGCACCCCTGGGGTCCAGCGCTCTAGCTGAACAAAGGAGAGTTGCCTCTTGGCATTAGACAGGTCCTTTTCAATCCTCGACAGGATGCAGGCCGGAGTGTTGGGATCTTAACAATAGGCAGACTAGGTTGCAGGATGGGAAGCCACCTTTCTTGGCATAGGTGTATCAGTATGGCCTCCCTGACCTGCTAACCTGAGGAGTACCAAGCCAGACTTTCATATAGCAGGATCCCTCCGACAAGTTGTTATTCAGCTGTCTGAGTTATTGACTCCCATATGCTTCCTGTTGGTGCCTGGAAATCTGTGTGAGTTACCAAGACTCTGCACATTGCCAATTAGACTATGAGGTTGGTCTTTCCCCAGAACAGACTCCTCTATCACCCAAGTGGTCCCAGCCGAGAATTTAAAGCATCCTAGATTGTGGTCAGGGGGAACCCTGGATAGTGAGACAAGAGGACCCAATGTCCCCCTGCTTTCACTGCCATTTAGAGTGCGTTCCACTGGTAGTCTTTGTGGTCTTCTTACAATCCTGTTCAAGCACCACAAATATGTCATATCCATGGTGGGTCTAAGGTTACCAGTACACACTTAAATTTATCAGGCTTGTCTGTCTGACATAAAAGGAGGAAGCGAAGTCTAAAGAGAGTACAAAGTAAGAAGAAGGAGGTGAAAAGCCATTGTGAGGCACGGGATCCCCCGAATTGGGTAACCACCAAGTATGGGGCAGCAGTCCTGTTTTTATGAGGTTGAGCCCTCTCTGGAGCTGCCACACCTAGTTGGTTGGTTTGTTGATAGGAGTCTGGATTTCATGGGTCAGTAGGGGAATATGGATACACATTGCAACTGGGGTGGACAGTGTTCCAAAATGAAGACCGCAGGCCCTGCTGTTTACATTCTTAAAACACTGCAGAGGTTGTTTCTCTTCTATGTTTAAAAGACCCATTTCCCTGATCTGATCCTACCAAGGGGGTTATATCAATCCCTACAATAAATTTAATGTTCCTCAAAATTAATGCAGCAGAGCCCACTTAATTCTACTATCAGACATTAATATGATTCTGGTCTTTCTGAGTGTTAATGCATTTCTTTAACCTCCACAAGGATTTTCTATTTTTAAATCATTTTATAGGATAAACAGGCTGAACTCAGATTCCTTTGTTCTATGCACATTCAGGTCTTGAATCTCTATGGGTCAATGGCCTCACATAGCTGCAGACAGTGCTGCGGAGGAAGCACTGTAAAGGGGCTAGGAGCCTTAGGCAGGGCAAGCAGTCCTGGGCTTTAAGCAGATGCATGAATTAAAGGGGGGAACACCTGGTTCTTCTTGAAGGCCACGCTGTGATTTGGCTCAGATATGATCCTTGGGGAGGTCCGGCAGATGCAAACATTCTCCCTGTCTCCCCAAGTCTCTATCTTTCTTTCTCTAAGTCTTTGATACCTGGAACAAGCAAAAGATTTCAGAGAGAACAACTCAACTTTCTCCCTTTCTTCCTCCTACTACCTGTCCTGTCACCTGATCTTCTCCTGGGAGGAGG